CTTTTCCCAGAGGTCAGTTGCATACTGCATTTGACTGATTCTGAATATGCTCTTCTTTACGGGGATGGGGAGACAGAGAGGAATTCCCATCCTGGATGGAAGACATTGCAATGTTTTTGCTCTAGGGCCTAGCTAATATTAGTCAGGAAAATAATCATTTAAGAACAACAACAACGACAATTCTGAATAGTTCAGTAAATGATTTCTGCCCTTTTAATTATTTTAGAGTCACCACTAATTTGGACAGTCCCTGAAGAAAGATTTTTAATTCACAAAAGTTTCTCCCCAATTCTTTCTTTTGAACATGTTGCAGAACATTGGAAGAAAAAGAGAGGGCTATAGATCATATACAGAGGAACATAGAAAACAGAGCATGTCAGAAGGGCCCTCCTGGGCTATTTAGTCTGACCTCACCCAGCCCCCCAGCTTCAGCTGGCTCCTCTCATAACATACCTATTGGGCATTCATTCTACAATTAAAAAGTGCTAGCCTATTTATGTTGCCGACCGAAGGATCAGGCATTGGAGTTGCACATCCAGAACATGGACAGGTTGCATTCCTGAGCTGGATGAGCAATGCTGAGCCCCCGGCTTTCTCACCCACTAGTGTTCGTGTCTTTATTTCATCCATCATGCCTCCATCTGCAAATGTATTGAGATGAACGCAGCTCACTGAAGATGCTCCAAAGGCTTCTGCATGTCATGCTTGCGAGTTATCCAACAGCTTGTCCAGCTGCTGACGACAGAGCCGTAAGTGACTCATGCCCGGTATTTTCAGGAAGAAATGTTTTTGTACGTCTTCGTAGGAGCACTTCCTCACTGTGCGACTCTTGCACAGTAATACACGGTGGAGTCCTCAGGCTTCAGGTCACGCACTTGCAGGAACACCTGATTTTTGGAGGTGCCCCTTGAGATGGTGAGCCTCCTTGCTAGACCACCGGTTAGCTGAAGGGCCCCTCCTGGCCTCCTCACTTCACCTCCAGACTCTGTGAGGGTAATCTGGGAAGAAACACCTTCAATCATGGAAAAAGGACACAAAGAAAGAAAGATGAGAAAGCACAGAGGCAACAGACGGACTGTCCTCATACGAGAGAAACATGTAGCATTTATCATAATCAAGGAGGCTACTATTAGTTCATGCAGGGAAGATCATCCGAAAACTTACCAGGATCTTGGGTGCCATAACCCAATCTGACTTCAACAGCCTCCCAAACTCCCTGGAAGAACTTGGAAACTCCAAGTGTGTTGAATTCTGTTACCCGCACAGGTCATTTCTGCTTCATGAAGGCTGCTCCTGAAGCTCATTTGCATAATACAAGCGAGGAGCAGGGACACCTTCTCAATCTTGTGTTGCACAAGTGGTCTGTGAAAAGGGCAGCGTGGCCACAACGGTGCGTGTTCTTTAAATGCACGGAGGAGGAAGTGGAAGGAAAAGCCCTTCGTCCCTCAGCTGGTTACATATGATTCGGTAACAGCAGCACTGAGAAAATACAGGTATGGGTGGTAAAACATGAGGGCTGCATTGAGAACCAAGTCCTTTTCTGCTCTGCTGAGGAATCCTGGCCAGCTGACATAGCTTTCTTGCAACCCTGGCACAAAACCCCTGGCAAAGTAGACAGGCTGAGAGGAGTGACAGCTCGAGCCACTGAGTCATCCGAAGGAACAGAGGCAAGCAACCCGAGATACTTGTCCCCCCTTTTCTTGTAGTCAGAAAACAGTACCGAGTCAAGATACTTTCCTAGGCATGTTGTTTAAATGCACAAATATCTTTGTGTGTTTTGCACGTTTGAGGTGGGACGTCAAGGGGCCCTGAGAGGAAAGGAAAGGGAGGACTGAACTCCAATGCCAGCACTCTTTCTTCATGAGACCATGTTGGTAGGAAGGCCTGATGCTTTCGAAGGCAAAGTTGCTTTAAAACATTACAGTTAATGAGGATGCTCATCAAGAGGAGATATGGGGGCTCAAGGGGGCAGCAGGTTGAGGAAAGCAAGGGGAAGTGCTTCAATCATGCTGTGGCAAAGCTAGATTTATTTTTGGTTGCCCAGGGGCTTCTTACTGCATTCATGAGAAAAGTGCAGAATGGAAGACTCCCTGTTAGAGAAAGCTTTGATTGCAACACGCAGAGGAGACTTTCCTGGAGGAGCTATGGCAGCAGAAGCAAACAGTCCTGATGCTTTAGCCAAACTCTCCGAAAGTATCTGGGTACGACAAGAACATGGAATTGTGTTTCTTCCACTGGTCTCTTCTGCTTAATGAGCGTACCTCCCGAAGGTCATTTGCAGAATGCCGGCAGGGCTGCTGGTGTAAGATGGGAGCTGAGGCTCAAACTTCACCTTACATACACTGCAGGAAATGCCTCATTGCCCTTCTGCGTGTTCCTGAAGGTGTTGGTTTTCCTTCAGCACATGGGGATATAGAGAGGAATGCCCAGTCGCTGTGGGTGACATTATAATGTTTCTTCTCCACAACCTAGCAATTGTTATTCAGAAAGATTAGTATTGAATGGTAATTCAGAAAATGTTAGTAGAAACCTGCATGCACTTTTAAATATTTTAGAGTCAGCCAGAAATTTACACTGT